AATGCCATGTTTCCTTGGAGAGGTTGCCAGGGAAGGGAGAGAAAAAGAACCAAATAAGTCTTTATTTTTACCTCCTTCCTTTTCTGCCATCTGTTTTTAGATGAAAAATAGCATATGGAACTATAACCCTGGTTAAATAATAAACACTGCACACAGTTTTGTTCAAAATGTGACTCTGATGAGTACTGTTTCCTTAGGTTTACCAGGCGAGAAAGGAGAAAAAGGCAATCCAGGTGTTGGAACGCAAGGACCCCGAGGCCCACCAGGATCTACAGGTAAAGTTGTTATGTTTAGGGCACCTGGATGAGACCTCTCTGATCCACGTGCAGAGCAGCTGAGAACTGCATGGCTCTGTCCTCCGCTTCTAAGGCTTAAGCAGCAGAAGAGTCATAATTTTAACTATGTTAAAAGCATCTTAACTGTCATAATGTTCTTACTATGCAATATGACGTTGTGATGTGACACATGGTGCCATTAGTCACACAATTATTTTCCTTGTGATAAACTGCTTCTCCAAAACCTTCTTTTCTAATATTTTAAATACTTTTTTCAGTGGTGGAGTCTGGAAGGGAAAAAATTAATCATCTGGATTAATTCCATTGACTCACGGTCATACCTCACTGTAACTTGACAGAGAAATGTATAGCAAGCACATTAATCACAGAGATTTATATTTAGCTCCTGAAAAAGCAGAGGGTGATATCCAGGTCCTGTTGAAACAGGTGTAAAATCGTGTTGATTTCATTAGGATATTCTGGCCATTAGAGCGCTGGTATCAAGGCACAGTGTTACCCAGAAAGGGAATGGATGAATGGAGAGCTGTCCGGCATCCAGGGCTCTCCTCTCCCCCTCCCTCCACCCCAAAACTGCTTTTCTGAACATCTGACACTTGGCGAAACATTTGCTCTGGTATAAATTTCTGGCTAAAAGCAGTCTCTGGCAAGGAAGATGAAGCAGCGGCCAGGGAGGAGGCTCATCGTGAGCAGGGAACTGGCCAGAGGAAGGCTGCAGCCCCTCCCTCAGCTTGCCTGGGGCAGCCAGAGCCGGCATGCCCAGCTCCTCTACTCAGACTCTCTCCTGGAAGTGTCAGTAGCACGCTTGGTGCCATGTTTGCCAAGCACCAGGCCTGCCAAGGTGGCCTCAACTCCCGGCTGTTATGAAAGACGCTACTCAGACGTTTCATCTCCCCCTTCTACGCAGGACCTCCAGGAGAAAGCCGAACTGGCAGCCCAGGACCACCAGGCTCTCCAGGCCCACGAGGTCCCGCTGGTCACACGGGTCCCCCAGGCTTGCAGGGTCCTTCTGGGCCACCAGGCTACTGTGACCCTTCCTCCTGCGCAGGGTACGGCATGGGAGGTGAGTAGCCAGGAGTCGGGGCAGCTGCCATTTGCAGAGGCGGGGGTGGCGATTCCTAACAGCCCAAGTAAGATGGAGGCTACTGGTGAGCCTTGTGCTAAAAGATGTGCTGGAAACGTGCGTGTCCAGTGCTGCTGTGTTTTGGGGGACTGCAGCACAAAGAGAAGGTGACCCCGGCATAGTGACCAAAGGAAGTCCACCATCGGATCCTGGCCTGTAACACAGATCCTGTGTAGTGGGTTTTTGTCCTGTACGTGTTTGCGTAGCTGTACGAGCCTGCTCTGTCTCATCTGACCGGTCTGTGTGTTGAACCCCCACCTAGTAATGTTCGTGGCAGCAGAGTTTCATTTGTAGTTTTTCGAACATGTTACTGAACTTCCCCTTCTGTGTGCCCCTGGATGGCATGAGAGCATGACCCTTACTAAACCCGTAGTAGTGTAACCTGACACAGGGATGCACGTATCCATCATTAACCAGTGAAGCAATCTGGAGACAATTATTCTTTCTACATCTTCTCTGTATCCTACTTTCCCATCTCGTTATAGCACGGAGACGCCATGGGAGGAAGTTAACACAATTACCAAAAATTATGTCGCCCAACCTAAAATCAAAATGTATTGGTAAAGCACTAGTTACTACAAATGTTATGCATAAAGCATATTGGTTTGATGTTTACGGTTTAATCTGCCCGTGATTTGTACGTTTTACTTACCTGAATGTTTTTGTTGTCGTCTCTTCCTATCCTCTCCTCTTCACTTCCCCTCCCCGTTGTTCATCTCCTGTTGGAAGGCCCAATCCCTTACAATGGCTACCAATCCAGAAGGTGAAAGGCTCATTCTGATTCAGTTCTCATTTGGCTGAAGGTCAGAGGTGGATGCTGAACTGCTCTGTGCTTTCCATCAACGATATTGACTACCACTAATGAACTTACTAGCTGCTGTACATGCACTTAGCTTTCTTGCACTGCTAAAAATTACTGCCTGACCCATTTTTGCCTGTTCATCATGTATTCTAGACCATAATTGGAATAAGCTAAAGCAGGCAGATTGTGCAGTGTATCATAAGCAGAGTATTGCAACCGGACATTTGACAAATTCCGGTGGTGGTTTCCAACTAACTTGGCTGTCTGTTGGTGGGTTTCCAATTGCTCCAGCTTATTAATTTTGTTAAATGTTTTCACTGTTCCTTTATGTGAATAAAAGATGTGTATTTAAGGACTATATATATACTCACACATGTTATATATAAATATATCTATATATAAAATGTCAATTTCCTAATGAGTGCTTTAATTTTCTACTCCCCTTCTCCTGTGTTAACCGTATGAATACTCTTGGTGGTGGTGGGTTAAGGTGGATACGGTGAGCCAACCGATCAAGACATCCCCGTAGTGCAGTTGCCACATAACTCCTACCACTATGACCCCGAGGACCTTTATGATGGTGAGCAACAGCCGTACGTAGTTCACGGGTCCTACCCCTTATTACCCCCATACACCCAGTCCTCCTATCCATCACCTCATCTTGCTCAACCAGAGTTCACTCCAGTTCGAGAAGAGATGGAAGCTGCTGAACTGAGATCCCCAAGAATTAGCCGCTTCACACGGAAGGTAGCCAAAAGGAGCATCAAGACCCCAGTCCGCCACAGGGTGAATGGAAAACAACCCTCTCAATGAACTGTTTAAAAAAAGGGAAACGTTTTATGTGCTTGGCCTTTTGTCCAGGTGCCTAATCTGTCACGGAAGATGTTTACAGGCTCTTATATAAAAGGAGAAAAAAATGTACATGACCAGTCGACACAATGAATAATGGTAATTATCTTGCATGCCAGAAACTTAGTATGTTAGTGGGTTGGTGCTAGATGATGATGAAAGGTCACTTGTAGACCTTTCTTTGGAGTACTGTTCCATACACTATTCAAACTGTATCTAAAAAAAACCCAACACCCAACATCCAGCTAGTTGGTGTACCTAGAACCATTCAAAAAAGTTAATGTTTTCTTATACATGTTTTTCCAGTTGATTACGTTCTGGTAGTTTTGGATGAGTTGCTTTACTAGCAGAGTAACCCTACTACATTCACCGGGGAACAATGCATACAGTTTCTTTGAACCCAGCTATTACTTTTGCAAAGAAATCTTATGTTAATGGAATATTTTTTTTAACCCACATTATATAAATACACAAGAATGTTCCATGGGAGCACACTGATAATTTATTGTGAACCTCTTTCATTTCTGTTTTGTATGCAAATAAAAGTGGCAAGCTTTTATACGTTAATTCTGTATGTGACTGATTTTTAAGTTGGAACAATTGTATAGATCTTTGGGGAACAGAATGCAAAAAGAAAATACATTTTCCTTTTTCAACAGTTTTGGGCAACAATTTTATTTTTAAAGGACATAGGCACTTAGTATAAAGAATATTTGGCTTTAGTTTTAAAATTATAGATGAAAAAGTGTAGAGAATAACCATGAGATGAGGTGGTCATCCCATCCATGGATGTGAGATTTTTGCATAGTAACATGCCAAAGTCAAAAGATGGGCAGGTGTAGTCATGAAGGCAACTTGGATCAGCCAATGATGAGAGGAAGGAAAACCCCAATACTTCAGAAGCACAAAGCAATTCATGATGTTAAGCAAAATAGGTAAATTACAAAGTGACTCAACAAACAGCTTTGAAGAGCACTATGGAGACTAAGCATCAAAGCAGGATTGAAAGCAGAAGCTCAAAAATGTTCATTTAAAGTGAAAGCATAGATTTGGAACACTTGTAAAGACATGGAGGGATGAATGCCTGTGGAGCCCAGGACCATGTTCCTGCTTGCCCCTGACTGGTTTAGATCTGTTTGTGCTCAGGAAGGAAAGACCTGTCAGCTTTTGCTTCTGGCCACTGCCAGCTCTCTCTTGGTGCACCAGGAAGAAGACAAACATCTCAAATTATCTGGCCTAGAATTCAGCCTCATTAGTAACACAAACCACTTACACATGTGTCTAACACCCACAGCTGTGTATATCCCAGAGCAAATTTTTTGGCTAGGTGGCTGTATAACTTTGTGTGCTGTGTTTCTGTTTTCTCACTACTTCTCTCACGCTGAACTTCCACCACTTCCTTGGAGAAAGGTGAGAAAAGTTGAAGGAAAGGTGAGTTGAATGTAGTTTCCTTACCTGGACTTGCATTTAAAGTAGAAGAAGGTAGAAAAGTATCACATAACTTACCGACTTTAAGCAGCTTAACCTGAACTTACAGAACACTGAAGCACCAAGTAAGCATGGCTGTGTGTGCACCTGTATGTAGCATAACCTGGCACACACAGCTGACAGTCAAGAGACATATGATTAAAATTAAATACAGGTTATGGTTGTATCAAGTGATTCATTTACCTGCTTGCACTTGGCTGTGAACAGCCACGTTAACTTACCCCCCCTCCATGGCTGGCCCTCTCCCCCTCATGTGTTGTACTGACACCTTCCAGCGGCTCCTCCGTGATATGCCAAACTGTAGGTCCCCTGGAGGCAACTGAGAAGGTCACTGAAGGAAGATCGGTGTTCAAGTAATTCTCTCTGTGTTGTCTGAGAAAACTTTTGAGCCTTACGTTACGGTTCATAATTAATTTGCACCCTAGGCTGGTCATCAAGCAACGCTATATCCAAATCTCAAGCTCCTGTGGGACAAGGAAGAGTGGTAGTGCAAAAACAGGGACATAGCGAAGACAGCATAGATGAACACTTCAAAATCAGGCACTTTGTGTGTGACCGGCTGCCAATGCAACCATCTTCCCCCTCACACCATGCGGGATGTAAGTGCAGTGAATTAAATGAAGCGATTATGTGAGGGTACTAAAGTAAAGTAGGCATACTCATTACAATTTTATACCTTAGTTTGTACACTATAGCACAAACTTTAAACTTTAATTGCACTAACTTGACATTTATCATGACATTTACTGGCCCCCTGCTAACCAGAATGCTTCACAGATCATTGGTCACCTCTTCATGTGCTGGGTATACCTTGGTAACAGAAAGTAACTGGTCAGCACTACCAAGTTATAAAAATATTATTCAGGATTTGTACATTCGCCAAAAAAAAAGTAAGAAAGACACAGATGCATACGGTCAACATTTTCTCAAAAAATCAGTCACTTCCCTGTCTCGTATTTTTCCAGACTGCCCAAGAAACTTAAGTTGCTGACTGTGAAGTATTCAGCACATGATGAACAGCTGATGCCACACAGATCTTACCAATAAAGTATATGTACTGTGTCCTTACATACAAAAGAACATTTACTTCAAACTATTACTTCTAAAAATACTTTTACTAGTTAATTAAATGTGGTTACTGACTTGGAAATGAAGTCTGCATGTTCACTGGATAGGAACATCTCCGGGAATAGCCCATCTGAATGCCAAAGATATGCCTGATACCAAGCTATTATTTCATATAATGAAATATGATTATAAATAAAACAATGTTTTTTCTTCCCATATGATGCTCATATAAAATGGATATAGAAAACAGAATTTTTTTCTCACAAAACACTGTAAAATTTGGCAGATAATATATCAGCTGCTATACTGAAAACAACTGTGTTTCATTTATTTACACAACAACTTTGGCTTGAGGGTTATCTGTCCAGAAAAGCAGTAATGAACTTCAGGGAAGTAATCTGCAGAAACAAAATAATTTTTAAGAGCTATTTTGCATCATCCAACACTTAAGTTCTGTTTCCTCATATGGTTTTCATAATAAAAATGTTGCTACTTTATTCTTCAATACATTCTTTAAGTAAGGAAGGCATGTTCCTGTGACTTGAATCAAAATCAGATTTGGGCTTAAGAGGGTAAAAAAAGGAAGAGCATCTCCATCTGATCTGCCTTTACTGTCTGTTATTTCAATAAGCTCTTTAACAAAATCTATACTATGTCAGGTTGTCAGCAGACTTAATCTAAAGAGGAAGAGTTGCTTAAGAAAATACACTGCACAGCCCCAAATGGGTGTTCAACACTGTGAGTCCAAAGTGCTCTTTAAAAAAGCTCTTTAAAAAGCTCTTTAAAAGCTAAGCCCAGATGGAGTGGTGTTCTGCTTGTCTGCTTTCGAAGGCAGACAGAATGTTACAGGTGTCCAGTCTCCTGTTGACAATCATGTAACATTTCCATATCACGAATTAAATACTATGAAGAATTTTATTTAATACCATTCAGCAGCTAGAAAGGAAAGGAGTCAACCCTGATGTTGTCATTCAGCACACCAGAGATTTAAGTGCAGAGCAGACTAACACGAGTCTGAAACCCCATACGATTATTTCAAAAACCAACAGTTCTCATTCTGTTCATTACCTGCCTACATTTGTTATGCCGTTCCTGGAGGCATACCTTTCCCACCAGCCTGGTTTGCTCTTTGGATGCAACCTAGCAGACAGCATCACCTCTGAAATTCACACTGTCGCTGCTGCTCTGCAGTATGCCAGCAATATGTTCTGTTGGAACTGAAACGTCATTCTTCCAGCATCCAAGGAACTCCAGACACTGTCAAATCCTGCAACATTCCTCCCTGTACGCTTAAACTGATTCCCCCTTGGCTTCACTGTCAGTGTTGCAAGCACACGATATGGCATTCCATATCAAAAGATGGCCAAAGCTTCAGGATGAAAAATTATGGTCAGTGACCAAATACTTCCTTGGTCACAACGAACAGGCAAAACTATAGGCAAAACGTAATCTGCGGAAAAACTTTACAGAAGGTTGCTGAAGACTGAAAGATAAACTCCCACAGGACATAAAAAATGACCATCACAAATCTCACCACCTCCTCATTCCTCCCCAGTGCCTCTCTTAATAATACTTTTCTTATCTCTATCAGGACTACAGAATGCACACACACATATTTGCTACGTGCACTGCCTTCTCTAAAGAGTTGTGTTTCTCTGATGTAATTTTGTCTCTGGAAGAAGTTTGATTTTACTTACCATCACCACAGTAACTTCAGTGGGTATATTCACCTAAAAGATAAGGAAACTGCAGGCCTGAATAGACATGCATTGAGCAGAATCTCACCATTAATTTAATACAGCATATACACTCTGCATTCTAGAAAAGGCTTTCTGAAGAGTCACACCATCAGTTACAGAAGTAAATAGCTCAAGCCACTCTTCTTTTTACATCCCCCAAAGAAAGAATGAGTTCTACGGATCACCTGTTTTACCAGAAGAGCAAATCAGATTATTTACTGACAGTGTTCCATTCATGGGTGCTCTGTGACCATAATTATTCACTGCTCTTACTGCGTGGAATTCAAGTTTTACAACTTATAGAGTGAGATACTTCATTTCAGTAAACAATGCACTGTTTCCATAAGATGTAAATATTCATTCAAAATGTATCATCATTTCAGTAAACAATGCACTGTTTCCATGAGATTTAAATATTCATTCAAAATGTATCATTATTTAATAACAGTATTAAAAAAATGTAATTAACAAATACCAGCTCATACAACACAGAGTACAGGTGGCATTAACAACATAATATCCATTGTTAGCTGTTTCAAATACAGTAATTTTTATAATCTTTCAAAATAAAGTTTGCTAACACCTGTCAAAAATGTTCTGTAAAGAAGGTTGACTAAGATGCACAGATGCTTCCATGTTAGAAGAATTTTCTTTCAAGGAGAGACATTCCTGATGGCAGTTCTTCTTTCATTGTTATTACTTCCTTCGAAAATCTTTAGGTCTGGGAGGAAGGAAAAAAAAAAAAAAAAAAAGTGCTTTAAGAAATGTAGGAGAACTACAGTGGCTTTGCTTTAAGGATGCACTAACAGCCATATCTATTTTTATCTCCTTAATGCTTGAAGTTTTTGTGCTGATGAATATCTTCTGGATTACATTAAAAAGACAGAAAAGTTTACTAAGACCTATAAGAATTTACAGATATCAGGACTAGTTGGTGAACGTGTTTCTTATGAGCCACTCCTGCTTTTCTAAGCAAAACAAAAAGCATCCTTAACAGACTGCAGCCTCACAGTGACTTTAAACACTGGTATTAATTTGTCTCCACTTTTAAAAAATGAATGATCCATGCATAAAATGGCAAGTTTTAAGATAACAGCATAGCCCACTGCAACACTACTAGAATAATTAAAACCAATGATTTAAAAAACCCCTACTTTGAATCTCAAAGACTCTGCAATCCTTTCTGCTTGGATGACAAATGTGGAAAACATTCAGATAACAGACTGCTGTTTGTAATCCTCGGCAATTTCCTATTCAAACCTA